ATCTTTAAAAGTTTTTTTCATTTATTAATATTAGCCTTATAAGTATTCTTCATGCTGATTTGCTGATTTCTGCCGTGAATTACGCTGACTTTATAAATGAAGCTCGTAGAATAAGGACCAAATCTACAGCAATTTCGCTTCATTAAATTTACGCCATCGACAGTTTTTATTGAAGGCAGCGTTACCAGCGAGGTAAGCGAAGATCGGAGGCACTGTTCCTATCTCTGCGTCAAAACACCTAGTAATTTATACGCTATCGAGTATAAACTTAAAAGAGTCGGGAAAAAATCAACGAAAAGGAAAAAAAAAGACCTACCCTAAAAATCAGACGTGAAATATACACACATACACCAAATATAAAGGTTCTTGCCATCATAACTGTTTTGTGTAGGGGAATGGTCCAAACTTTTGAGCCCGGTTGGCGGCGGCGGTCGTTCCTGCCATCTGGCGGCGGGTATGACCAGTCCACTAACCATCGGCGGCCCGTGTGTTATTAACGTGCATGCGAGCTCGTAAATCCATCGCCCTATCACTCTTTCCATGTCGGTCGAGTGTTGTATACTTACATGCTAACTCATAAATATGTCACTTGGGCATAATACTCCCAGTGTGCGATTCGGTTTCGATTCGACCTGCTTGTTGATAGCCAGCCGACGTGCCATGCTGTACGTCGTCCCCAGATATTGATCACGCCGTTGGTGAAGCGACGAGAGACCTCATATTTATCCATTAAGATATATTCCGTGTGTTCATGTAAGTGTGATTAGGTGTATTGATCGAAGTATGGTGTCTCCCTCTCGCATATGGTCGGCGATGAGTACAATCAGACCGTGAATATGACCTTTATGCCTTGCCGTGAGTCATGTTTCGAATCATTAGCATTGGCCAAAATAGCGTAATAATGATCTTAGCTTGCTTTGTACTAATGATTCCTCTCAGTTAACATGACGTTATAATGATGGTACGAAATACCTGGTAGGCAAAAGTACGAAAAATATTCTTTGTCGATGGTAATCATGGTATAATGAAGCCTTTCAAGATGATAGCGACGATGATTTGAATAATTGAGCCTAGTTGTATGAAGATGGTTGGGCGATTGTTGCCTTGTTAGAGGTGATAGCTATATCTCTCTGATACTTCTGATGAATCCGCGTATGATCTAATATTCACCTTCATTATCCACAATGGGAATGACACCCGTCGATTGATTATGCCTCGGGCGATACGCACAACTGTTGTTCGTCTGTCGTTCTATTTCTCTTTTTGTTCTGTATTAAACAAAGAAAAAACTGCTCCGGCGGTGGTTAAATGGGTTGGATGACGGCGAGCGTCAGCGAAACAAAAGTTAAAAGAGCTGCCATGATAAGCGCCCGTTATGCGTGATGACGTTGTGTTTTCGGTGTCATCTCGTTCTGTCAAGTGTCATACATCCCGCAGGTCTCCCGTGGCGGCCACCAATTCCGTGTACGTTTTTCTTCCGGTGAGAATTAATTACTGGGCCGGCTAATTTAACAAGCTAGAATCGTTTGCACTCCACAGTTCAGCAGACTAATCATAGCAATGTTTAGAGCCTTTTAGACGATCCAATTACTTATCCCGTAATCGATTAAGTCCGCGCAGCTTTATTAATATCCTCTCCCTGCTTAATTAACCTGATTTATATCCATAACAATTCCCAACAACAAATAAACGGGAGGAAGCAAGCATGAATTACAATGTTTAGCTAACCTAACGATACGGCAGAGATTTGTGTCCATGCCGTTGCGATGGCAGAGCACCCTACACTAAGAGCCCAGAGCTTAGAGCCTTTCACAGTCACACTCATAACGACGTACATACCCTACTGGTCCCCATTAGCCTCGGAGCGTAAGAAGGCGCATCGCGGAGTTAACGTCTGACTGGCGACAAAGCCCCTCCTCGAGCCCTTGACTTCGACATATCAAACTCGCCTCGCCCTGCCGCAAAGGCGCCCCAGATCTCGGGCTCCGTTATGTCGAATCCTGACCCCCGAACGCCAATCCATCCCGGAAGACGCAGAAGTCCTCCGATCCTCAGATGCAAAGGAATCATTGTGGGTGTTCGTGTAAAAGGGTTGGCTGCCTCGATCGACGGCGCTTCAGCATGGTTAGTGTTGCCTAGGCGGGGAAACGTGTGCGCTTCTCTTGTGATGGCAGAGCGACTTATCATGCGTTCTGTTTGCTTTATTACCAGTATTAGGGCTCTTTTGCCGGCTTTAATAAACACTTACATTGTTGATACTGGCGCTGATATTGTGCGTGTTGTTGGTGATGTGTTTGTTTTCTGGTTATTTTGTTTTTTATGAGTTGCATTAGCTTGCGAACCAATACTGGGAGTGCAGTTTGGATTTTTTTTTTCGGGTAACATTTTTTTTCTTTCTCTCTCTTTAACTTTCACGAAAAAAACAAAAAACTATTAGAACGGTCCCTGGTTTCATAACCAAACAAACAAATGAACGCCTACGAAGTGTAAATATTGAAGTATTTTTTCCCCTTCCCAACACTTCGATTATAATTCTGATTGCAATTCATTATCATTTATAATTTGAGGCACAGTGGAATACTTGATTGCGATTATGTTGTTCCCACGTTTCCGCCGCACCATCTCCCCTTTTCTCCGGTTCGAGAGGTTCTCTCTCTCTCTCTCTCTCTCTCTCTCTCTCTCTCTCTCTCTCTCTCTCTCTCTCTCTCTCTCTCTCTCTCTCTCTCTCTCTCCTTCTCCTTCTCCTTCTCCTTCTCCTTCTCCTTCTCCTTCTCCTTCTCCTCCTTCTCCTTCTCCTTCTCCTTCCTCTTCCCTTCCCTTTCCCATTCCATCTCCCCTTCTCTCTCCTTCTCTCACCCCCCCAAACTCTCTCTTCTTCCTATTCATTCTTTCTCCCGCGCTCTCTTCCTCCCTCCCTCCCTACGTCACTCCCTTCCTCTATCCCTCCCTCCCTCCCACTCCTGTATTTTCGACATCGCAGCCTCTCTCAGGACCCCAATATCTCCCTCGCACATACAAACTCGAGGAAATATTTGGTAACCAACAATTCGGTTCTTAAAACTTTACTTTTTGGCCAAACTTGCGCTATTTTCGCCCATTGCACCGTCCTCTGATGCGCGAGTAAAGAGGAATATTCACAAACGACTCTCTTGTACTTTTGCTCGTTAGCCAACGCTTAGCACGCGGATAATACAGACAAAGGAAGAATTCTATATGCTTACGAAGAGCCACGACGCATAAATTCAAGGGAACTATAAGGATAAATCTATTAAAAGTTCTCTAATTCTGTCGTTCGGGGGACCACAAATTGAGGACTCTAATATATCTACGCTAAGGTATTGGCGAGAAGGCTTCCCCCCCAATGGACTTTTAATGGCTGCCACAAATACTTCACTGGGAAAAGTTGGAAGCGAAGGAAAAATCGCCTGTATGTGTGAAACAAAATATTTGTGTTATTCAGTATCTGTTAATACAATTTATAGAACCCAAAACGCATTATTCAGCACTCCCCCCAAATTGTTTTTAGATGTTTCATTTCATTGTGAACAAAAGCACTTTTTTCAAGTTTGTACATATTTTGGCAGGTCGACTTTTTTTGTTGTTCACATAAATATACAATGACAGTGGTGCTTACGTGAATGTCTAAGCTAATTGTATCATTTTTATAAAACTTGGGTGTTCCATTCGACGTTGTTTTATAGCGAAGAGACGAAAGTTCACGCTGGCGCCGGCCGAGGGGTCAGCTCTCGTCCGCGCGCTGACGTCGGGCTGGGGAGGCCGAGACGTTTAACGAGGCTGCGTATGGCAAAGGTCATATATTATTTAGCAGGCATAAAAGGCCTTTCTAACAGGAACAGCTAGAGATTTATGGCTTCCCTCACTCGTGCAATCGCGCCGCCTAGCTTGGCCTCGTCTTCCTTCGCTGACCTTTTATTTGTTTATAGATTTATTTCGCCGTCCGCCTCCCTTTCTTCTCTTCCACCCACCCGCAGTAGGGCAGCGCAATACCAGGTGTCTCGGAGGTCCGGGCCGATACTAATACGCAAATAGCACCACCCTTAAAGTGTTTAATGAAGGCCTTGTTTAGTTTTTACCCTGGGGCGGTCTTAGTGCCCCATTCATACAGCCAGATGGCGCGCATGCCCCGGCCAGATAATGGGGGATTTTTTGTAACGTGACGAGTTTATCAGATCGGCCATTTTTCTTTTTTTATACTTAATTTCTCTAGCTGTATCTCTTTTGCGTATTACGTTCTGTCTTTAATGATAAAGATTCATTGCAAAAAATAGTATTAATCTTTTTCCCTTCACAAGTCGCTCCATTCTATTTATGGATGTTTGGCCTATGATTTTAACAACTTGTAACAACCCCACATAAATGGCTTGCGACCCGCGGCCACCGCATGCGAGAGGGGGAGGAGAGGCGTCCTGCGAAGAAAACAAACTCAGGAATGGGAGACTGTGCTTGCATGAAGACGAAAGGGGAGGAGTAGAGAGAGGGTGCAGGGAGGAAGGGAGGAAGAGAGGGAAGGGAGGGAGGAAGAGAGAGGGAGAAGGAGCCAAAAGATCATTCTTCCGGTGGATGTTACCCCAATCACGGGGTTCGCTGAGTCATGTAACAAGCAGTGAGAAGATTGGCTAATCACCACCAAAACCATATTAACGCAGCCCTGTTCA